TTCCTCATCTGTAAAGTGGGGATAAGAAGCGTGCCTCCCTCATAAGACTATTGTCAGGATTAAATGAGAACTTTGTCTGGCATCTAGAAAGTACTACACACACAGGTTGGCTATTATTAAGAGTCAGTGCACTGGCTGGGCAGAAAGAGGACCAGCTTGGCTCTGAGGGGACCCATGCCCTACTTTATGTATTAGGAAGGACTGAGACCAAGCTCCCAGGGCATCAGAAGCCATGGTGATTATTAATAAGAGGGCCAGTCTTTAAGTGTACAGTGACCATGCTTGACTAGAATGAGAAGCTAGAAAAAATGGATATTATTCATTAAGCTCTAATTAGCAGGTAAATTGTACAAGAGGAAGGAAGTCCAAGTGTTACTTCAAGTAATTAACGTGCTTCTTCTAATTCTGGTAACCCTTTGATTTGAACCACCTAACCTGATGTCTTTTTTAGGTGTTCAGATTCTGGGAATACTGGCTGCTAATTATGTTGGAGCACCCCTGATTGCACTAAAGGAAATAGATGTGTCCTGCTGTCTCTAATGGTTGAAGCACAAGGGAGATAAAGTGCCTATAGCCATCATGAATTGAGCCCAGAAGATTTGTAGAGGACAATCATTGTCTTTATTCACTTAACAAATGTGAACAGCATCTCCAAGTTGATAAAGAAAATGTGACCAGACTTAGTCTGCTGAGAAAACCAACCAAACAAAAAACCCATAACCCAAAACCCAACAAATCACTACCTGTCCCAAACTGCTATTGAGCTGGTTGACCTGTCTGGCTCTCTAGTCAGAGCTTCAAGCCTCAATTTCCGGGACTCAATTCCTACATAGATTATGGCTAAGATCTCTGGAGTCCTGGGACACTCCCCGAACTGTGTTCATGCCATGCTCCCCTGATTCCTGGCTCCCCCTACATGATGGCAACTGGCGACATGTGGACTTTGGCTCTGACCTGTCTGCAGGTCAGCCATTTCAAAGCTCTCTTTCTGAGTTATGTCAAGAAGGTGTATTGTTCCTGCTTGTGGCCAGGAAACCACCCTGCCAATGAAGCATCTCAAGGGGCCGTGAGAGGGCAACTCACTGTGTGAGTGGCCTGGAGAGCTGGCGAGTGTCCACTGAATGACTTCTGCCAGGAGTTTAAGCGGATGGGGCCATTTGCTGTGTCAGAGACTCCCTGTGATTGAGGTAGTGCCGCAGAGTAGAGTTTACTGAATATTAGAAACACTCAGAATAATACTAGTACCTAGTAGTTGCTGGGTGCTACTATGCACTGTAGGATCAGCACTGGATTGCTAACTGCAAGTTTGGTGGTTCAAACTCACCAACACTCCTTGGGGACCCTATAAACGGCAGTTAACAAGAACAACTTTGTTGTGTACTGTTCTAAGTGCCTACATGCATTATCTCATTTGACCCTCTCATCAGTGCTGTGATGAGATGTTTTTGTTGATTTGGCTCCAACTCATAGTGACCCCCGTGTAAGGTTTCTGAGGAGTGGCTGGTAGGTGTGAACTGCCCAGCTTGTAGTTGGTAGTCCCGTGCTGATCCGACAGTGCCACACCGAGACTCCATGATGAAGTAGACATGATGATTTTCTGCATTCTAGAGCCAAGGGGACTGAGACAGAAAGGTTAAGTAACAATGAAGCCAAAAGCCCTTACCCAGTTGTTGTTGTCAAGCCCACTCTGCCTCATGGCAACCCAGAGGTGTACTCTGGGTGTACTCAAACGTCCAACTTGCCAGTTAGCAGCCAAGGGAATCAACTATTTGCACCACTCAGGAGTCCCACGCTCTTTCTACATACCTCCCTACAATATTACTGTTGGTTGATTTCCCCCACCCCCACACTCTCAATATCCGTGTTGTTAGGAGCCCTTGAGTCAGTTCTGACTCATAGCAACCCTATGACAATAGAAAAAACATGGTCCGAAAAAGGCACCATCCTCACAATTGTTAAGCTTGAACCCAACCCCATTGCTGCTGCCTCTATGCTAATCCATCTCACTGGGGGGGGGGGGGAGGTCGTCTTCCTTTGCACTGACCATCCAGTTTACCAATCTTCATGTTGGGTTCCCACAATTTTCTGAGGGCCTCTGGAATTGAGCCTCAGGGAATAGCCAGCGTCTCTGCTATTTGTATTTGAGATCTTTATAGATTCCAAACCCTAAATAGAGTGTTTTTCTCCAACTCCAGTTATTAGGACTTCTTAGAAATTCTGGTGTGGCATTGTGGGTTAATACTCTGGACAGCAAGGTTAGTTTGAACCGGAAGGTCAGTGATTCAAATTCACAGGTCGGGTCACTCCTTTGAAACCCCATGAGTTGCTATGAGTAGGGACCAACTTGAATGCACTTAACAACAACAACAATAGCAATACATAGGCTTTTAGAAAGAGGCTTAATTAAAAAGTCTTTGGAAGCTTAAGAAGCCATACCCATTGCCCCTCTGCCTAATAAAGGCCGTCTTCCCTGGCCAGAATCAGACTGGTTCTCCCCTCAAAGTCATCCATGGAACTGATGCCACAGCCATCCTTTTCGTTAGTACTGGGACCATGGTTCAGATTCCTTAAGACTAGTTCATAAAAGTAATAAAATCAATGTATTTATTTTATTAATTTTCATTTTATTTTATTACAGTTGCAGAATTCTTCTTATTAGATTATTAAAATAGCTGACTTACCCACTGCCTAGTATTGAAAACCTCAGGTCCCAGGGGTGATGCAGTCCATGAGCCCACCGGGAATCCCCCAGACCCTGGCTTCTACGGCCCTGACCACCTCCTCTCTGAGCCCAGCAGTCTCTCAAAACCTGAAACTCGCTTACAGTTTGCTGCCCGCCTGGCTGTTTGCAGGGCGATTCTTAGAGCTTGAAGCAACTCAGATAGTTTTTTCTCCTTTGCTTCCTTCAAAGGCTATTGGTAGCCGGCACGTTTATTTTCATTCTGAACCGCTTCTTCCACAAAGGAAAAAATGCAAACACTGAGGCAAGCAGCACGAACGACCTGGTGTGGGTCCTCCAAAAGTTCTATGGTGTCCGTGGGTTTATGGCTGTGGGCTCTTTTCAGGGTTCCAAGTGGCAAGCCAAGCCCGCAGGTGGCCTGTGTGAGAGGTGTGTACTGTCGCACAGCTCATGGGGTCTTTGGATTCCGGAGGTCTAGTGTAGCCTACTCCGCAGATCCCTCTGGGAGCAGGGGTATCTTAGGGAAAAGGCGTTGGGGAAGAGAGACTGCTCTTCTCGCGCCCAAGTTCCATATTGAGAGTAGGAGCAGGGACCATCCATCTTCAAACCAGGGGGCACGCTCCTAATCTGGGCTTCTCGACTGAAGAAAGTGCGCGCTAGCCTGCGTTCCAGCAGAGCCCACCTTCCCATTGAAGTTTCTCTGAATGCTGGCTTCCAAAGGGGACACTCCCAGCCTCACGCCCAGGGTCGTCCCCTTGTGGGGCAGGAGGGCTGTTGCGTCCAGACTCTGGTACTCCTGGCCAGGCCAGTGCAACCCCTGTCCCTCCAGGCAAGAAAGCTGGCCAGGAACAAGTTTCAAGGGATTTGCAGAGATTTGGGGGGAGGCTTTTGCACCTGAGCCATCACTTTAAGTAATGAACGGAAATCTACTCCCGCAACCGAAGTGGTTGAGGTGGCCGCATCGCACCCCGTGAGTGGAGCCCAAACCCCTGGGATCCCTCTGGCCCCCGCGCTCCGCGAGCCTGGGCTCACCGCAAGGGATAATGACATCTTCCCTGGGAAGGGAGATTCGTGAAGCGCGAGAACTGCAGGGGATGGCGAGGGGCATAATGGGCGAATCAGGCCGGGGACACAGGACTGCGCTCTGGTCCCTGGGCATCCTGCCCTCTGTGGAGGCGCCATCCGTGAGCCCGCCAGAGCGCTTAGAAGCCACCCTGCAGATCGCGGGGCCCCTGGGAGGGAGCAGCGCTGCAGTCCCTCGCTCAATTTCTTGGAGAAGCTGCTACCAAAGGGAAGAGCTTTCTGGCCGGTTTTACTGTTTCCCAAAGTAGCGCCTGAGCTCCTGAAATCTGAGCCGCCGGGGAGCTGGGAAAAGAATGAACTCCCGTCTTCACTTTATCCTAGCCCTAAAGTTTAGCACCAAGCAGTTCCTCCACTTAGTCTCAGGGAATCGACCCATTTCCCACTTCGAGCGCAGGACACTGCTCTTCTAGCAGAGCACACATTCTGTACAGGACTAAGTGCACCGCCCGCCTCTGTAGCCCGCTGCTGCGGCTGCTGCTCTGGGAGCGGACGGCTCCCAGCAGGGACTGGAATGAGGATCAGTTCCCTAGAGATTTGTAATTGGGATAAGAACCCTTGGCGGCTGTCCCCTGCTTCCGATGGGATGCAGACGGTCCAGCAAGGCAAAAACACAGGGAGTAGGACGAACCTCCTAAGGAGACTGTAGGAACCTGACTCCAGGGTTTGAGGGGCCACTGACAATTCCCGCTTTCTTCTAAGGAATGGGGAACGCTGTATCCCAAGAGGGACTCTTTGCCACTCACTGCCTTGTAGTCTAAAGTGCTTTGCTGAGGGTCTGCTTTAAAAGGTGGAAAGAAGAACCTGCTAGAAACCGGAGCACCTTGGCTGCGGCTGATGTGTGTGTGTGGTGGTGGTGGGGGCTGAACTCCAAGCTTGTCACCATGCAGGGAACCTAGGGAGTCGTGGAGGGGGGCGGTGACTAGAGAGGAAGGACATACAAGGCAGTCGGAAGCTAGACAACATCGCGCTGTGGATTTGTCCATGAAAAAGTGGTGACAAAGCGGGGGAGTGGTCAGGGAACTCTGATTGGTCAGAGGGAGGGGTTTGGGGTGTGGCTAGCTGCCTCTCGAGGCTTTAAAAGCTCATCGGAGAGGGCGGGACGCTGTCATTTCCTCTCTGATGCTCGAAGAGGTAGGCACGCTTTCCCGGAGCTCCTGGTGACAGAACAGGTGGTTTCCATTCAGACCCGCTTCGGATTCTGAGCACGCTGGAGGTCTTAACGGTCTCCGGGAAAGCCATGGGACCCACCCTGGCGGTTCCCACCCCATATGGCTGTATTGGTTGCAAATTGCCTCATCCAGACTACCCTCCAGCGCTGGTCACCTTTATGTTTTGTGCGATGGTCATCACCATCGTGGTAGACCTGATCGGCAATTCCATGGTCATCTTGGCTGTGTCAAAGAACAAGAAGCTCCGCAATCCTGGTAAGCAACTCTCCCTTCCCCATACCCGCTATGCGGCCACTTGCAAGGGCTTGAGTTTGGGCGGCCAGAACAGAGATCTATGGTCATCGCCCCGACAAGGACCGTCCCTGCCTCCATGAGCCTGGGGGAGGGTGATGTTATGCTTGGACCCATAAATTTAGAGTATCTTAAGGCAGAGAGAGTGCGGAGAATTGGCTTTGACAATACTGAGTCTCCATATGCAAAGAGCCGGTTCTCACGGTGCGCGGCAGCCGGCGGAGCCGTGCCTCATCGGGAACCCGATGTAGAGGGAAGCAGCGACAGAGCAGAGAACCTGGGCACAGCGCACCCAGCAGGTTACAGCACCTGTGACTGCTCCAAGGCTGCGCTCGGCAAACGGACGTGGAGGGAGCAGCGCTCTGCGAGTCACCGGAAAGTTAAGTTGGCTGTGGTGGCGGCAGCGGTGGCGGAGGCTGCTGTGGCCGTGGCGCTTGTTGGAGCGCAGCGCACCGGAGCTGGCTGGTCACAGCGGCCGCGGCCAGAGCTCCGGGATGGTCCCGCAAAGCGCCCGGGCGGTGGAGCGCAGAACCAGCCCACCCAAGCCGGAGCACACGGCCAAGAGGGGCGCGCGGCAGCGGACACAGCGGAGACCCTGAGGTCCGTAAGCGGGGCGCGGAGGGCGCAGAGGGCTGCGGGAGAGAAGGCTGCAGCCTGGGAGGACGGTGAGAACCGGTCTGGAACATGCGGGTCGCGAAGTCGGCCAGCTGAGGGCTGGGGGTTGGGGTGGGTACACAGAGCCGGTGGCAAAGCGAGCCAGCGGAGCGGCGGGATCACACAACGTGCTGGGGGCCCGGGAGAGAGATGGGGCTGCAGAGGGGCCAAGGTGCCCGTGGCGGGACATAAAAGCCGTTCCCGCGTGGGCTCAGGGGTTGCTCTGCTGGGGAGGACGAGTCACAAAACAAGGCACAGGCTCGCAAAGGCGCGGCCTGGGGCATGGTCTTTAAAGTTCTGTCTCGGATTCCCGCTTGGTGTCCGGCTTGACCTCAGGCTCTCAGAGAAACCGCTCGCGCGCGGTAGGTCCGAGCCTGGCTCAGGAGACCGACCGCTGGCGGAGCGCTTTGTTTACTTTTCTTTCCACCTGTTTCCCTTTCTAGAAAGCCAATAAAGATGATTGGTGTCGTGGTCCCCTAGTTTCTAAGGCTTGGTTCTCTCTCTTGCCCGGGGTTTCTTCTTCGAATGCATGACTTGGAAAGAAAACCCTCGAAAGAGCTCTCCGGCCGCCAGCGCTCGCGGGCGCAGCGGCGTCCTGGCCGGCTGTTCTGGCGCTCCTTCTTAGCAGTCCAAGTGGAAGTGAATATGTGCCAGACCTGCGCTAATGAGCACTGAGGGCTTTCCTTTGAAAGAGGGCTCTGCGTCTTGCGCTTGGCCCCTTCTCTCTTCATTTTGCGAAAGACTTTTACAGAAACGTCCCCACTGCTGCCAGGCGAAGCAGGAGTCGCAGCCTCCTCCCCACCCCCCCTCCTTTCTCGTTTGGTCCTTGGGCCTCAGGAAAAGCCGGGGCAAGTGGCCGCCAGCCCTTGTGCCTGGCTACGACTAAGACCCAGACAGAGTATAGCCCCGTGGGGGCCCAATGTGAAGGAGGCGCTTCTGAGAGTCCTCGCTTCTTTCTTTTTTAAACAGCCTGGATTTGTTTGTCTTGCTCAGAATTTCTTTGGTCTTATTATGCAGGACTTGCCCTCCCCTTGGTCCGGGTAGGTATTTGGATGGGTTCCGTCTTAGATCACGACTGATCCCACTCAGAAAGGATCCTTAACCTCTTTCTCAACCTTTCTTTTCTGGGGGTGCTGAGGTCATAAACGCAGCAACTAGACTGGAAAGGGCAAAGGGTTATCGTAGTTTTTTTACCCTTAGGGCGGGCTTCTCCAGCCTGCTCCCTCGGCCCAGTTCTCCTCTAATTCCCTCCCCCGTGGGAAAAGAGGTTTGCAAAAGACGGGGCTCCCAAACCTGGCTGCACATCAGAATCAGCCGGGGCGCACTTGCAAATAAACCCCAAAACACCATGCGTTTCTTTAAAATAATTATAGAATTCGGAATCGTCTGGAATCCAGAGATCGCTTTCCTGTTTAACTTTGTTGACATCTGCAGTTAACCTTTTCTTTTCTGTCTCTTCCTCCCCCTCCGTTCTCCGCCCCCCTCCCCCGATGTTTTTCAGGCAACATCTTCGTGGTCAGCCTCTCAGTGGCAGACATGCTAGTGGCTATCTATCCCTACCCTCTGATGCTGCATGCCATGGCCATTGGGGGCTGGAATCTGAGCCAGCTCCAGTGCCAGATTGTTGGCTTCATCACAGGACTGAGTGTGGTTGGCTCCATCTTCAACATCATGGCCATTGCTATCAACCGCTACTGCTACATCTGTCACAGCCTCCAGTACGAACGGCTCTTCAGCGTGCGCAACACCTGCATCTACCTGGTGGTCACCTGGATCATGACCGTCCTGGCCGTCCTGCCCAACATGTACATTGGCACCATTGAATATGACCCTCGAACCTACACCTGCATCTTCAACTACCTGAACAACCCCGTGTTCGCTGTGACCATTGTCTGCATACACTTCGTCCTTCCACTGCTTGTAGTGGGCTTCTGCTACATCCGGATCTGGTCCAAAGTGCTGGCGGCCCGGGCTGCAGCTGGACAGAACCCTGACAACCAGCTGGCTGAGGTTCGAAATTTCCTAACCATGTTTGTCATTTTCCTCCTCTTTGCAGTATGCTGGTGCCCTATCAACGTGCTCACTGTCCTAGTGGCTGTCAGCCCCAAGGGGATGGTAAACAAGATCCCCAACTGGCTGTATCTTGCTGCCTACTTCATAGCCTACTTCAACAGCTGCCTCAACGCTGTGATCTATGGGCTCCTCAATGAGAATTTCCGAAGAGAGTATTGGATCATCTTCCATGCAATGCGGCACCCTATCCTCTTCCTCTCTGGCCTCATCACTGACATCCGTGAGATGCGGGAAGCCCGTGCCCTAGCCCGTGCCCGCGCTCGTGCCCGTGACCAAGCTCGTGAGCAAGCCTGTCCTGCTGTGGACGAATCACCAGTGAGTGTCCGGAATGTTCCACTTCCTGGTGATGCTGTAGCTGGCCAGCTTGAACATGCTACTGGTCACCCCAAGCTGGCCTCTAGGCATCCCAAGTCTGCACTGGGCCACAAGTCTGCCTCTGGTCACTCCAAGTCTGCCACGGGTCACCCCAAATCTGCCACTGTCTACCCTAAGCCTCCCTCTGTTCACTTCAAGGCTGACTCTGTCCATTTCAAGTCTGCTTCCAGCCACCCAAAGCCTATCACCGGCCACCACTTCCCCTCCACCAGCCACTCCAAACCCACCAGCAAGCCTGCTACCAGCTCCCCTGAGCCCACCACTACGAGCCACCTTGAGGTCACCACTCCCTGCCACCCTGAAACCACCACTGCCACCGACCACCTGCAGTCAGACATCAGTGAGCCTGCCTCCAGCTCTGCCACTGGGTCCCCGGAACCTGTGGTTATTGATATGGAAGCTGATTCTGATGAAGTGACAGTGTGAGACATTCTCTTGTTGGTGGCCAAGCAGTGGTCCACTCTCAAGGTTGTCTTGCATAGATGATCCCAAGTAATCTATCTTTACTGCACCCACACACAGACACACGCAGACACACGCAGACACTGCCACAGATGTGGTGGGGGCTCCATCCACCTTTAGACATCTCCCTCACACGGTATACTCTCCAAAAGTGTGTGTGCTTGCAGTTGTAGAGACCGCCTTTCCCCAAAGTTTTCCATCTGCTGTCAGAGCCTTCCTCTCCTCGTACAGCTGACCTTCAGCCCACTGTGACCACTACAACTTTGGACTTGAATTTTCTCCCACTCCCTTCCCTACTTCTCCTCCTCCCCCCCTCCTCCTTCCTGCTTTCTTCTCCCACTCCCCAAGGGGCAGGGGAGGAGTGCATGTGCACTGGCAGAGGTGTGTCATGACGAAGGCTTCTTCTCCACAGTGACTGTCTTCTCACAGCTTCGTGTTTTTAAGTGTGTGACTGTATATTGTCCTTCTAATGGCAGTCAGGAAAGCAGTTGTGATTAAGTGCAAGTACTCATAACACATCTGAAGCATTCAATTGGTAAACAGTAAAATAATGCTTATGCCTATGAAATCAAATGACAAAAGGAAAGTTAGAGTCGCACCAAATTGTTTTTTTTTTCTGTGAAAATCCAAATATTGGTGCTGATTTTTATAGTGAAGCATGTAGTCACTCACCTTTTTTAGGCTTTTTCAAGATTGTCTTTCACCTACATCCAGAGAGACACAACAATTCCTAAACTAGTTTCTTCTAAACTCCAAACTTACGGTTGCTAGGATCAATTCTAGTCATGTTTTTAATATTAGAATCTAAAACTACTCTTTACCTCAGAGATTTTTGAAACAAACAGCCTGATGTTTTTACGCAATCTGGTTTTGCATTTTCATTTTTCATTTGGAAGGACATTTGAGCTAACAACTGTGGAGGTCGTAAAATGAGTGTTTTGCCAAAACTCTTTCTCTTCTGCCTGGTCCAGCACCATCTTGCCCTTCAGGGCTTCCTGCTGGGGGAGGAACATGAGAAGGAAGAGATGCCAGACAAAAGCCAGGTCCATCACACTTGACAACCCAGGAAGCAGTGTTTCTTTAAAATTAAAAGAAAAAGAAACTGTTGTTTAATAAAAATTTCAAATATTGACTCAAATCGACACTTTAAGCTGAGTTTATTGTATAAAAGCTTGCAAGGATGAGTGGAAATGGACTATACTGCCTTAATTCTATTCTGTATTTGTGGTTGCAATTAAATAAAAGTGTTTTTGTGGCTTTGCAGTGTAACTTATTGATAAATTCTCTTACTCTGCTGGGGTGGCTTGGGGAGATGGTGTATTGGGGTGGGAGGAGCCTGGGCCTAGATTGTAAGAAGACTTGGGGACTAGCCTGCTGGCTACTAAGATAAGTACCCTCTCTCCTGGGGGAGGGGAGAGGGGGTGTAGGTATGTTCTCATTGGTGACCTGTCTGCTATGGCTTGTGGAAACAGATCCCCTTTAACCACCCATGGGAGGCATGAGGTTAGACCACAACCACATCACAAAGCTAGAAACTACTGGGCGCCGGGGCCAAATGGGGGAGGCACAAGAGTGGAGGCAAGAGGTCAGAGATAGCGGGATTTCTTCTTCAGTAGAAAGATGGGTGGCAAGACTCCAGGCGCTGGACGTATTTTCAAAAGAATACTGAGTGACAAGGATATGTTCAGAAACAACTGCTGAGTCAAAACAGAAGTGGACAACAAATAACACAGCAGGATTTCAAGCTGATTCAAAAACCTGCGTATTAAGCATGCACATCTGCACACAGACACACAGAGTTTTGTATAGGTAGAAATTTGAGCCACAGGTTGCCAGATTTGGGGTATTAACTGAGACTAAAATGTCATCTTTAATGCCCAAGTTCCTGGGGTTAGAGCATGGTCTAGGGGTTAGTCCCGGGTCTGGAACTCAGGTTGACCACTCCCTTGTGCAAAATACCTGTGACGTTTTCCTGGAGACCCAGAAAAGATTCTTGCGCACTATCTGGTCTACAGTTCCTGGTCCCCTACTTTTCACCTGCTCCCTAAATGCACCTTGTTTCCGTGTGACTTGTACTGTTCAAATTAAGTGTGCTGTGTCCCACTGCTCCAAACTTGCCCTTTCCAGGGCCTCAAGGGTCACAGGCTTCTGAGAGGTGAGGGGAATGGTGTGGAGAACAATAGGTCCTTATTGTATCTTCACCCCACTTTGCCCAGAATCTCCTAAACTTTCAGGAAGGCAACCACTTCAGACCCCCTCACCCTGCTGTCTCCCTGACCACCCAACCCAGCACAGGGCCAACTATAATGCTTTTCAAGTTTACGCTCAGCCAAGAGGTGCTGGCCCTCCCCCCTGTAGCCCATCTGCAAACTGC